ATTTGCAACCAAAAGGTGAGTGAGCGTAGCGAACGAGCTCCAACCCAAAGGTGAGTGAGCGTAGCGAACGAACTTCAAACAGGACGTGATTGAGCGATGCGAACGAGATCATCTTGAAAATTAAACGTAACGGCGAGTGAGCGTAGCGAACGAGCTAACCTGAAGGCAAGTGAGCGCAGCGAACGAGCTCCAACCTAAAGGTGAGTGAGCGTAGCGAACGAGCTCCAACCCAAAGGTGAGTGAGCGTAGCGAACGAACTTCAACCAGGACGTGATTGAGCGATGCGAACGAGATCATCTTGAAAATTAAACGTAACGGTACTTTCTTTCCATCGGTCTGTCTTAGGGGAAACCTATAACTTAGGCGATACGAAGTTCGCCGGGTCAGCTAGTTTTCTATAAAATGAGTTAAAAACCACTTTGACAACTTAAATAGTCTTGAAGATATAAACTGTTAAAGTTGAAAATGTGATATTTTCCTCTACGCTACATGTAGTTTTTGCTATATATCACCCAAAAGGTCAACAGTACGTATCTGTTACTATGATATTTTTTATTCGTAATTAAATTTGCTACAAAATGAGATGAAAATCTCTAAATTAACTTAAATAGTTCCGAAGATAGAAACCGTTAAAGTTATAAGTTTCTTTAATTTCTGTATTCAACAGGTCCGTGTTTCTTAAAAGTACCCACGCTTTGTTTTTTCTGCACGTATTGCGTTAGAAGACTGCTACTACACACATTAATATTGGACCTAAAATAGTACTTTTTAAAGTACTTCTTAAATTTTTTCCCCCAAGGGGGGTCGGCCCACAAGGAGTAAGTTGAAAATCTTAAATAAACGCGTAGGCCATGATGCATATCAAATTAAAGAGATTTACCTGTAAAACGCGTTACCACGAACTGCACTTTAAAAGTACATGTGGGTCAAAAGTTATAAAATTTTATAGTTCTGCTTATTTATTTAATAATTAACGGTCAACACCAGTTCATCTCATTGCATAACATATAGCATACGTAACGGAACTTAACTACAAGGATCATACATAACCAACAATAATATTAACAAGCAAAACAATTAAAATAGGTCCTGGGATCAGGATGGTCTGGATCAGCGAAAGTTTACCCTGCTCATAAGCTCAGGAGAGTCAGTTCTGCAATGATAATCTTCCTCAGAAAAACCAGGTCAGCAATACGCCTTCGAGAACTCAAGTGGTTTAGCCGAAGATGCTGTCGAAGATCCTCGAATGGGTACATCCCTGAATGGGCATCCCAGACGAAGTCCTACGATTCTAAAAAAAACTGCACTATTTCGATGTCCTGTGAAAGACCAACTGTATAAATGGGGACCATACAGGAGAACAATATTCTAACAAGGGGGCACCGCCCAAACAGAGAACCCATTTCTGGATAATCTCAGAATGAAACCAAGGGCTGAGTTTCCTTTCCTTGTTAACCTGTTATCTTGAACATCAGGGTTGAGAGATGATGTAAATGATACTCCAGGGTCGTTGACAGAGGTGGATCTAACAAGTGCGTTCCCATTTATTGAATAGTTAAAAAGAGAGGTTGTTGAGGTCCTGTTGAATGAAACTATCATGCACTTGAATGCACTCAAAAGCATTCCAATTTGCATAAACTACATTGAAATTTCATTGATGTCCTGCTGGAGGAATTTTGATTCTGAGAAGATTTTTCTACATGATTTGCGTTTGGGCAGAGATAAAATTGTTCGTACAGCCCATTTTTTAAATAATTTAAATAGAAATTTAGTTTTTAAAATTTCATAGTTCCATATAGGTATAGCATACGCTATAGATAGGCTATAGCATACGCTAAATAAAGATATATTAGTCCGTAATATACGGATGTTAGAACTTCGAAGGTAGATGTGTTCTTTAAACTACGTAAAACAAAAATTCCAGTACTGACTTTTTTGAAACCTGCTTAATGTGATCTGAGAAATCAAGATGTTTATCTAGTGTCAGTCCCAGAAACCTAAAACTGTTAGTTGGATGAACAGTTGTGTCGTCCAGAAGTAGGCTGAATCCATTAGAGGGTCTCTTTGAAATAGAAAAGTGCAAAAGTTGGGTTTTTTCGGCGTTGACAGAGAGAAAGTTGGAATCAAACCACTCGATTAAGTTACTGGCTTCCTGAAAGGTAGTGAGCTCCAAGCTTTCGATATTGCGGCTGGAAATGGAGAGTGAGGTGTAATCAGAAAATAGTGTTGGTTTGGCGGTTGATATGCAAGATGTAAAGGTGTTAATGAGAGCAGGAATAGGGTAGGTCCTAAAATTAGAGCCCTGAGGCACCCCTCTCGAAAATGGTGGTCTTATCAGAGGAATAGGAGTAAATGAATCCGGTTGTCAAGAATCTTTGACAACGTCAGCCATAATGAATATTGAAAATTGGTCCCAGTAGAGATCCTTTAGGTACACCAGAAGAAGCTTCAAACTTACAAGACTTCGCTCCAGCAAATTTCATTGTTAAAAAGTGATTCCACAAATAGTCCTCAAATCATACGAGTATGATTCAGTGATCCCCAATCCACCAAGCTTTGCCACGAGATAAGTGTGACTTACACGGTCGAAAGCCTTGGATAGGTCCAAATTGACAGAATCGTCTTTATGGTTACGAGAAAAGGCTTGCACAATGTCATCCTGGTACAGAACCAAATTGGTCGAGGTAGATCGCCCTTTCTTGAAGCCATGTTGACAGGGCACGATGGCATTTTTCAAAGAAAAAAAGAGTCCATGAAGTAGAATTGCTGGAAATATATTAGCCAATGCAGGTTGTACCACCACTGGACGATAATTTTTGACGGATGGTAGCACATTACCATTTTTAAAACCCCGAGGGAACTTTCCAAGCTTCGTCATGATGAGATGAAATGGTGTTGACCGTTAATTAATAAATAAATAAGCAAAACTATAAAATTGTATAACTTTTGACCCACATGTCCTTTTAAAGTGCAGTTTGTGGTAACGCGTTCTACAGGTAAATCTCTTTAATTTGATATGCATCATGGCCTATGCTTTTATTTAAGATTTTCAACTTACTCCCTGTGGGCCGACCCCCCTTGGGGGAAAAAAGTCAAGAAGTACTTTAAAAAGTACTATTTTAGGTCCAATATTGATATGTGAAGTTGCAGTCTTCTGACGCAATACGTGCAGACAAAACAAAGCGCGGGGACTTTTAAGAAACAAGGACATATTGCATACAGAAATTAAAGAAACACAACTTTAACGGTTTCTATCTTCCGAACTATTTAGGTTAATTTAGAGATTTTAATCTCATTTTGTAGCAAATTTAATTACGAAAATAATATATCGTAATAATAGAAACGTACCATTGACCGTTTGGGTGATATATCGCAAAAACTACATGTAGCGTAGAGGAATATATCACATTTTCAACTTTAACAGTTTATATCTTTAAGACTATTTAAGTTGTCAAAGTGGTTTTTATCTCATTTTATAGCAAATTTAATTGTGAACAAAACATGTTATATACAAAATGGCGTAAATGTGTCCTTTTGGGTGATATTAGGCCATTTTCAATGAATAGTTCAATTCCTCTAAAGAAAACAAAGATGGCGTCGTATTTCAAGATGGCGGACCTAAAAATCGGGCACCCCCCCATAAATTGTTTGTATTTAGGGTATGGAAAAAATGTGCAAAAGCTGCAGCTTTAATCCATCAGGTCACGATCCTTGCCGATATTGTCTCTAAGCCACCACACTATGTTGACCATTGTTCCGTGATCGCGGTTGATGTTCGGGCTGGCGCTGTGACCATGGGAGGTCGGATAACCGAGACTCTACTGGAATAAATAAAACCATAAACCAACCAACACAAGTTGACTTCCCACCCTATTTTGAATTTTGAAGCTCTTTTTTCGTGTCTAGTTCATGTACGGTGACACTAGTGGCTAGTGTCGACGACATTTTGTTTCTATGATTTAAATTAATTTAATGATTTGTGCTTTACTGTTTGGTTATATAACTAGAGGATAAGTTATTGATTATGAGTATATCGTTTTATTTGGTTTAACGGGGTTTTAAATGACTGAAATAAGAAGAAACAGATTGTAAACAAAACACGACCCCTACAGTGCACTGGAAAGAACTAACGATAAAATTGGCTTCAGCTGTTCCATAAGGATGGGAAATCTACGAAGGGAGTATGTTTTATCTATGATAAAACTATGGAACCGTTATTTCCTTGCAGGTGGGAAAACAAAACTAAAAACCTTTAACTTATTGGTTAAAACAGTGTTTAGCCTTATAATTAAAGCAACGATGCTTTAAGTGAAACTAAATTAGATATTCGTCTTCGCCTGGTATTTCGCCCTGGGCTAACGTTTTGCTACGTTCACGAGGCCAAGGGCTGTTTCGCCCTGGCCTAATGCCTAGCATTAGAATATACTTGGTTATTCTACCCTGTGTTCGATTCCAGGGACTATTTCGCCCTGGCCTAACATCAGGCTGTTTTGCCTTACGCTCCAACTTCACTAGGGAGAGATGTGCCAACTGCTAGCACAGGCATTCAACTTACTGTACCCTGTCTTACTCCGTGATTTATTGGAGTCACGACACTAGTGCGAGTGGCCGCGCGGAGAATTAATGACCCCGCCACAGCTGCTCGACTATCAGCTGTTTTTGCGCATTTGAAATCGCATTGATTTCTTTATATCTTAATATTTTTACCATTACAAATTTGTCTTCTGTGATCGCAGAAAAATTCTAATTATATCCTGCAGCCGTGTAGACATTATCATCATCTCCCACGGACACAGATATGTTATCCTCATCATATTGCGGCAGTAGCATGAAATTATCCATGGTGGATCTTCGCAGACGTGTCGGGTATCGAAAATGGACACATCCCTAATCGTAATAGTTTTCACACATTTATATGTTTTAATGGTTTAAAAATGCATATTAATCTAATTAAGAATTAAGTTTGATACAAATATTAACCCAATTTGAAAAAAATACAGACGCTCAGTGACACTGACGTAACAGGACCTGCAAAGTGCCCAGAGAACCCTACATACGACTTGCTCAGTCTAAGAGAAAGTGATGCTTTGAAAGCTCAATACCCGAGGAATATTTGGACCACAGTGAGCCCCAGGAGTTGCATGTACCAGCATAGATGTGATTTTGTCGAATGCCGAGTCTGAACACAGCATGTGTTTTGTCTTAAATATCTTTTAGTACAGCAATGTGTCTGTGTTGGGTTTGGTCAGGTCTTGCAGTTAGAGTGAAAACATCAACTCAATTTCCCAAAGACACTTTTTTCTCATAGCATTAAACAATAAAAAAAGCTCAGAGTAAAACAAAACTTTCCAAACGGCTTTGAAGTTTTATTCTCAAGTGTGCTGAAATGTAATGCCAAACGTCAATATAAGTTAATTATAAGATTATGTTTTTATACACTTTGAACAAGGTTGATGAAAATACCCCCGCCGCAGCAAACCTGCAGACTAAGCGAATTTCAACTCGTCTGATTACATTTTTACTAAAATATTTCCATAAATAAGACATATTATTCCCTATTTAAATAACATTAGATTTAACGAGTGCTTAGGTTTGCTGCTACGGGGAAGGTAAAAAGTGTTTTTTGACCATACGACAATAGTATAGGATGAAATAAATAAATTTGCCAAATTTTATCAATATATACCCATAAACAAGTAAACTACAACAATTTTCATTTTCTCCATAAGAATAACATGGGAATTTTTAATTACACTATTTTTGAATTTTCTCCGTGACTGTTAGGCATACAACAGCGCTTCAATATACTAAATTATTTCTTTTTTTAAGCTCTACAAAACGGTTTAGAAAGAAATCGCAAAATTTGTTGTTTTTAGGTTCAAAAATGGGAAAAACCCATTTTTACCCCATAAAACCCCCCATAAACCCCCGTTCCCATGGTCCGATTATGCTGGATCGCGAACTCGTTCGAATAAACGTAGGTTTACACGTTTGTACCAAATTTCATCAAAATCGGATCATTTTTGCTCGAGTTATCGTGCTAACGGACACATATATATATATATATATATATTTATATATATATATATAAATATATATATAAATATATATATATATATATGAATTTGAACGGATGGTGTTTTTGGCCTCTAGGGACCTCAAAATGAAAAATTAAATCGGTCTCGGGTCCAGGTCTTACCATGAGTACTACGGTAATAGCTTATTCCCTATATGGGAAATTCGCTAAAAATAGTTAAAATAAATTTTTCTCAAAAATCTCAGAAATGTATGAAAATAATATAATAGCGGATGAACTCTTTTCACTGCAATCAGTTACTTAATGGTAACAGTTAAAAGGAATTGCCATCTTAATTAACAAAGTATGTAAAAACAGAAAAGCAGATTGTATCCATCATTTAAGGTTTGTTGAGTGCTAGCAAAAAAAACCCCTGTTGAAAAATTAACAGTTCCAGCTACAAAGATATTCATAGTGTATTTAATAAGTAGGTTTGTAAACCAATTGTTTTTAATGGATGAAGCTAAATAAACATTCTACAGAATAAAGAGGACTGACCATAATATTGAAAGCTAAGATAGTTGATTAAATGATTTGTAATTAAAGGCCATAAAATTTGTTAGAATATTATTTATGGTTAGCTGATAATTGGTAATACCCTAGAGTCACTCAGCCACTTATCACTGGTTAAGGACTACAAGCCAGTGAATAACCTGACCAAGATGGTTACTTACTTTCTTTAATTGCTTTAACCAAACTTGTGTAATTGGAATTTTGTTTTATTATTTCCAGGTTGTGGAGGTTATAGGGAGAGAAAATATTAAACTGAACCAGAAGCAAATTGATGACGTAATTGAGTTGATAAAGAAAGAAGAGAAGATTGAAAAGAAGGAAGAAAATAAGAATGGAGAGCCAAAAAATGGAGGCAATGAGGTTTCCGATCCTACAGCCAGCAAAAATGTTGGGAAAAAAGTTGAAAATTCAAATCAAAAGGATACCAAACAAGCAAATGAAAGTATTCAAAAAATAACTGTTGTTGAAGATTTTATTCTTTCTACGGGAAAAGAAACAAAGGATAAAAAGTTTGACATCCCCCTCCCTCCAACACCAGAGGAAGTCATCCCACCATCATCACTGGTATCCAGGGAGGCTGTCAAGGGAACACCTAAAGCGGCAGATGCCAAGGATTCACTTAAAAAATCATGATTTAACGTAGAATGATTATTTAAGTATTATTTGTTGTAAATGCATTGTTTAACATACAAAATAGAGTTTCAAAGCTACAGTGCTGGTTTTTTGCTACCTCTTAAAACAAGCTATGTAATTTAGAGAACAAGTATTTCTCCAACGGATGAAAAAATATGCTTCTGTTTCCATTGGTACATACAATTTTTTCACTAAAAAATTAACTGGTAATAATAGTCAAAACAAAATTCTGTAAAGTACTTCAACATCATCAAGTGGTAAGCTTTGAGAAAATATGTTGGAGGAACAAAACTTTAATAGCATAATACATAATTCACAAAGTTATTTAAATGTATATAATGATACTTGGTGCATTATTATTAAGATTGCAATGTGATAATTTTTATACTAGTGCTGAGACTTTTTGTGAATAGGTGTAACTATTTGTTTTTGTTATATACATGTTCTTGAAGCCCGTAATATATTTTATTTTAACTGTTTAATTAAAGTAGTTAAAACTTGTTGACACGTTTTTTAATTCTGCCTTGCGCGCACATCTTTATGCTTGAATTGCCAAAAGATTTAATCTATTTGTTTTGCCTTTTATAGCAAAGCAAAGGTATTTTATTTTATATCTAGGATACTTTGTGATCATAAAACTGAAATATCTAAGTTTAAATGTTTGATTTGATCATCTATTTGGAAAACTAATCTTTGGTCTTTCACAAGCCAGGTCCGGTTCAGGGTGGGGTGAATAGCACCCAAGGCTACTAAAAAAGAGGTTGCCTAATAGGGTGTTTACGGTGCCATCGTCAAACTTGTTAGTTTTTGTGTAGGTGCTGTGTAGGGTACTCAATTCTGGGATCTCGAATTCCAGTCGATTTTCTGAGGTATGTTGATAAAAATACATATAATAACACTTAAAACACACATTTACACTTATATTGTTTACTTACAGGACGGTAAATGCATATAAACAATTGTAAGTGGTTATCATTTTGATTGGAAGTAAAGTAAATGATTAAATCAATAGTTGTATTGAATTTAAGTTTTTTTATTAAGGTCAATGTCAAACTGAACTGTTTACCCACATTGATCACATAGATGCAGGTATTTATACCATTATTTAGTATTTAAATGTGATCAGGAGGCTAAAACTCAATATAATGATGTCTTTTAATATTATTCAAATTCAAATTCAAATAGTTTTATTACCATTAAGTATACATGTCATACAATAGGCCAGGTCAATGGAGATAATATACAATTCAAAGTACAATGTACAGAGTCAAGTGTAAATAGATGAACATGCTATACTAATAAAACTAATAATACTGGGTTTTTGTACAAAAGTATTACAGATGTATTGATAATTATGGTAATAATACTGTTTATGGTTAAGCGAACAAGTTGAGTAAGTCCCTATAGTAAAATAATTAAGGCTAAAATTGGCAGTGAGATACAGCTTAAAACTAAATAACAATAAATTTTTAATATAACATTATTATGAAAGACTATTATATCACAGTTCATGAAACCATTGTTACATACTTTAGAAACAATACCCTACATACCACCTACTACCTAGGTTTAATGCACGAGTGAAAAATGGAATACTTAAATGAACTGAATAGTAAAAGGGGATTATAGTTAATAATAATATTTGGTAACAATTAGAATTTTACAGAAAATCATGTTTGAAAGATAAAAATTCCTCGATAGAGTAGATAACCTTTCTGTTCAAAAAATCTGTCAATATATTATGATAAAGACCATAAGGAAGAGTAGACACTACACACTTCCCCCCTAGAATGAGTCCCTCACTTTAAGTGAGGAATTATTTACCACACGAATAAATTTCGATCTTTGAACTTTGTGCGGTTTGTCTGCTGTGGGGAACGACTTATTTTTATTGTTGGATTGTCTTGTGATTTTTCTTTCTTCTTTGCCTTTTTCGGGAATGTAGTCTTCAAGAAGAAACGCTGGTTTCAAACGGTCATTTGAAAATTTTGTTCTTTTTCCGTTCACTTCAAAAAAATCTACTATTGACTTAACTTTTGCTTGGAGTGGTTTTAGACCGCTTACACTGACTTCATGGCCTAGAAATTCCAATGAATTGACACCAAAAACACATTTTTCAACATTGATGCATAGACCGTAGTGATCCAGTCTTTTGAAAAGTGTCATAAGGTGAATTTTGTGCTCTGATTCATCCTTTGCAATTAAAACGTCATCAAGGTAACAAAATACAAAATCTAAACCTAATAGTACCTGATTCATGAATCTTTGGAATGTTTGAGCGGCATTTCTTAAGCCAAATGTCATATACGGGAACTCAAATAATCCAAATGGAGTGGTGATAGCTGTTTTTTCAATGTCTTCTTGACGGACAGGTATTTGTTGGTATGCTCGGACTAAATAAATTCTGTAAAATATGTTTGTGCCATGTAAAAAATTAGTGCAATCAGTTAGAAATGGCAAAGGATACTTATCAGGAATTGTAGCTTGATTTAATTTTCTGTAATCACCACATGGTCTCCAGTCTCCATTTTTCTTTTGAACCAGATGAAGAGGACTTGCCCAGCAACTGCTAGAAGGTCGACATAGTCCTTCTTGCAACATGAACTGAAATTCATGTTTTGCAGCTTGGAGTTTATCTGGAGGTAAGCGACGGGGTCGGACTGTGACTGGAGGACCTGGAGTTTCAATAAAATGTTCGACTTTATGTTCAACAATCTTTTTGTTTATAGGTCTAGGTCTTAATAAATCAGGGAATCGTGCCAATAAGGAATTGAATGGATTATTTGTACTCAAAGAGAAGACTGAAGAGTTACGGTTTGAAGACATTTTTTTGGGGAATGTTTCAAAGTGCACCATCAATGAGCCTGTTTTTCTTGGCATCGATAATAAGATTAAAATGTGATAAAAAATCCATTCCCAATATAGGTTTGTTAACATCGGCTACTATAAAATTCCATTTGAAAAGCTTGTTTAGTCCTAAATCAATCAGAAGTTGTCTTTGGCCATAAGTTTTAACTAGTTAACCGCCCGTGCTCCGCCACGGGAATATTGTCAGCAATAAAAGACATAACAATTAACAAATACTGTTTATCTTTGTATTTTATTTAGGGGTTACTTAAGTTTTTACATGAAATAGAACTGATAGTTGGCCTGTATAAACTATTTTATGTTAATCAAACTAATATATAAGTTTAACCAAATTAATGTTTTATATTAATTCGAGTTACACTTTAAACTGGTTTTGTTTATTACATTTGTTGTATGGAATAAATATAGTCACTTACATGTAAATCACGCATCAGCAGTTGGTAGCATTTCATGAACCGCTGACCCATTCTGTGAGTAACAGCTGTGTTTACGTCGTATATATAAAGTTGGGCATACTTTGGTTCAATGTTAGAGTATTAACGGTCCATTCCGATGGTAAAGGGAGACCCGGATCTTAAAATTATATAGACTACCACTACCTACCAGAAAGATGTTTATACAAATGAGACTCAGAACTCGCCATTTCAACTGCAGAGTTGTGGGATAGTATATTATTCAAATAGTTGTTTTTTCTTTTGACCCTCACTACTTTATTTACATTCGCTGTAGCCCCATTGATAAGCTTTTCCTTAAACTCAAAATGTTGATTAAGGAGCTCATTTTACCTTCCCCTTGTGACAACATAAGGAGAATATATTTGTGTCCCTGATAGTATGATCTGACTTGATGTAGATTTGCTGTAGTGACGAATCCAATTTAACCAACCCAATTCAAAAGAGTTGGTGTTTTTTTGTAAGGACTTCCAGAGCACATTTAACGACATTACTGCTCTTTACTTGTTTGGTTCGATGGTTCTCTACATGTTTTTTTTCGTGTTGTATGTCTCTTTACGCCCGGTTAAGGATTACCTTTTCTTTTTCTTTTTGTACTTTTCACACCCTGGAGTTAATGATAAAGCTTTATAACGCTATAATGACCCGAGTCAACATTGCCATTAAACATAAAGTCATACTTCTTCGCCAGACCCGAAATCGTAAGTGTCACAGTTTCTCAAGCAACTTCCCTGTGTACTAAAAAAAAATATTTAGGGTATAGTTCACTGATAAATTGTAGTTCCACGTATCCCAGCGTACTCACACCACCACCACCACCACCACCACCACCACCTCAGCGTGTGAAGGTAAAATTTGGTACTGCTAAACGTCAAACCCTGATATTGAGTAAGATAAATCACTTAAGATAAAAGGTTTGTATGTTTCCCACTCATTAACAATTATCTGTACAACTTGTACGTGCATTTCCCTATGATTGTTCTGGTGGCAATAGAGAATAAATTATATTGATCAGAACAATAAGTTTCCGTCCCTACTAAGGGTATTATTTCACATTCCATACTCAAACTTAAACTCAATTACCACTTTCCTTCAGATCACTTCGCAGGAAAACTAATGAAAACATTTCAAAAATACAAAATGTACACCAAAACATACAAATAATGTTCAAATACAATTATAAATAATACATTGTGGTATAAAAAGCTAAACAAATACACTTTTCCTGGATCAAAATTGTGTGTTTATAAACACGAACTCCTAGATTAATAATTACACTAGTGTGTACCTGTTGCTCGAATTCGAGCAATTGCGAAGTATTACAGGCGTTATTTTAAAACGAATAATGGTCATAATTTCCGATGATTTAAAAAAAGTCGACTCAAAGATTATGGAAATACTGACGATGTACACAACAGTTAGATGTAATTAATATTGTTTGTAAATATCTTATCTTTTTTCAAAAGCTGATCTTGTTTTTTAGAGTTTTCTACAAATGTTTCCCACTCATAGCCCCATTAGGTTCTCTGACGATTATAAATGAAGAAAAAAAACATCATTTCTATTTCTTATAATTCAGTTTTATTTTTAGTAGGCCTATATCAAATTGTCCAGGATTTCTCGCTTTTTTCCATTGTAATAATTACACTAACCCAATTATCGTCTACGGATGCAATACGCCAAAGAACATCATCTACGTGCAACACGCCTACGTACAATCTCCAAGAAGTGGTAAAAAAAGGCAGAGTCCAACCGATACAATAGACATAAGTTAACTCCATAAGAAATATTTTTTAGAGTTACTGTGATATTAGGATTTTCCACTGATTTGGATTGCACATTATAACATTACAACATTACAGCATCATATTGCAAAACATGACACGATGCAGGAGAAAATCGATTTTAAAATCAGAAAAAACCTTTGCAAATACAGTACTTCGTTTTGACAAATTCAGTAAATCACAATTTAAATATTAACAGCTGTTTCATTAAAAAGTACCTAGTGTAAAATTATACATGGTCATAATGTAAACAAATCTACTGAGGGGACTTTAAAGGCCTCTGGGGCAGAGCCCCGAGGGAATTTACTTTGTTTCTCTTTTGATGGCTCATCTACAGACCAAGACCTTTCTTTAAAGACCCCTACCAAGTTTCTATGCCCAGCCGTTCTCTGAAATTAGCT